CCAGAATTTCCTCTTTGGAGGCAGGAGACACTCTCTGCTCACTCCCTGAGAGATGCTCTACTGACAAGACACATGGTGCCATGCTGACATAGCCAGTGCCCTGGGTGCTGGAGGAGCCACGTGGAGACCCCTGCCAGCACTGAGATGCTTCCACTGGATCCACAAGACTTTCCACCCACTGGTCTGTGATTTTCCTGCACTTGGCGACATTGCATGTGTTTCGTGAGTCTGAAGAAGGCTTTATAGACTGGTATCAGGCATATGGGCTAATATCAGACTTATGGACCTGATCTGGGCTGGGCTGGGATGTTTCCTCAATATTCAAATGCTCTTTTATATAAAACTCTTTCATATATACAAGTGTCCATGAATTTGTTTCTCTTGTCTACCCATACTAACACACCATGGGAAGAGGACCCCCCAGTGGAACGCATTCCAGATCTGTCTGAAATGGCAGAGGTTGAGACAGAAGCTGCAGCACAGAGACCATGGGACAGCGCAAGGGTGCCAGGTTGAGACCAGAGCCCAAGGCAGTAAGACCATGAGACAGGGCAGAGGAGCAGTGCGGAGGCGGTGAGACTGAAGTGCAGAGCAGCAGGTGGGCTTCCTGGCCCATGGAGGCTGGGGCCAAGGGACCATGTGGCTGAGAAGCTGAGGACTGGAGAGAGGGGTTGCTGTAGATCAAGGACGGTATCTTTGCTGTTTACTGATCCTGACTGGTAGTAACCTATTATCTTCTCTATGAGCTGTCACATCCAGCAGAGAAGTAACGCCATGGGAGAAAGTCGGTATCCCAAGGATGGAGGGTAGAGTTGGTCTGGCCTTTTCCTCATGGCAGTACGGGAACCAGAGGTCAGCAATGGCCCCCCTGTGCCATTTCTGCTCTGACCAATCAAAACAAAGCACTTTTGTGCTCCTCTCCCTCCCCCAAGTCCCTGGATTTGGGTTCACACTCTTTAAAGGTGCCTCCTGAGAATAAGCTGGCCTAGCCATGAAACATGCTGATTTACTATGTGACGACATCACTCTTTCACCACTTCCCACACCACACCTGGGTTTTTCTAGCCTTTTTACCACTCTATGTTGTTTTAAAAGCACAGCTTTTCCCCCCTAAAACACTTAGAAGTGTTGTCCCAATTACCATTGACCATGCACCCTTCTTCCTCCACTGTAATAGCCACCCTTCCCTTTTGGCCTTCTGAATAAAACATCTCCCTAAAGTCTGCGCCATTGTTTTCACTTGGCAGGAGGGCCATTTGGGTGGTTCAAATCCTAGTTCGGCCTCTGAGCTAACTTTGTCTTTCAACTTCTGTTTCCACACCACAGAAGTATCTCAACAAACCACATGATTATTAACAGAGTAGGTACAGCATGCTGGCAGAGGGCAGGGTCTGCGAGGGCTTCACCGCCTCCACTGTCCAGCTGATGAATTCTGGACCTGCCTGTGACCAAGTGTGAGTTGAGAGTGAGATAGATGTAATTCTCACCTCTAAGGGCATAACCGTACATCTTTACCAAGTGCTGCTCTCTTTCTCTTGCTTCCTTCCTTCATCTCTTTCCTCACTTCTTTTTCTCATTCATATTGCTGATCCTGTTGTTAATGCACAGCCTGTGGTGGAGACGGGTCTTCTGAGATGGTGCAGTGGAGCACTGGGCTGCCAGCCGTCAAGATTGGCAGTTCAAACCCACCTCACGCACCTTGGAAGACAACCCTCAGGACTAGCTTGAATGGTCAAAGCCATTGAGATCCCAGCACACATCGCATCAAGGTTGTCATGAGTCAGTCAGCAGCGACTTGACAGCAACTGGTCTGGGGATTTTGTTTTCTGGATGACAATGAACCAGAGCAGACTGAACAACACACCCTGGGAATGGTGGCCGATGCTGAGGCAGAAGCAAGGCCCCTGCCAGGTAAGGGTGGCCAACTGAGCTTCTTCACTGGCTGAGCCTCAAAAATCCACGGACCGCCCTCCTTCCTTGCTGCTGCCCCATTCCCCTGGGAGTCAGATGGGCAGGAGCAAGCTCCTTCCAAGTGGGCCAACACTGGCACTGCAGACAAGGGGTCTCTCCTCAAATGTCAGCCAACCACTGATACAGGCTGTGTCTTCGTTCCTTTTCTCCTGGGGACAAAACCGACTGCCCAATCGCTCTGATCGCCTTTACCAAGTGAGGGGCTAACATAGCTTCCCCGTTTCAGTACCTGAATGGCTCCTCTGAGGGCACTGTCCATGTGTGTCAGTAAGAAAGCCATGTTCACAGAATTACTGGTCTGAGTTCCTGAAAGGTCATTACCAGCCTCCACCCTAGGGCAGAAGCACTTAAGCCCTCTCAGCCTTTCGCAGTGCCTCTATTTTTAGTGGGAAAGATTATACAGGAATGCTTCCCATCATCCCCGACTTGTGTCTGCTGCCTCCGGCCAAGGCAGCGTGGGAGGTTTACCTCCCACACGCTCTCAGAATCAGATACCAAAGGGGCTGGGGAAGGGGAAGGAGGTACACCTACCTCAGGCCCCGACTAGCCAAGGAAAACAAGAAAAATAATAATCATGACGGGAGTGGGAGTCAGAGAATAGGCAGGTAACAGGGCCACTTGCAACAGAGTGGGGAGCCAGGGTGCGAGGAGGCAGCCTGCTCCAGGAACGATGAGAGCCTTGCAAACCCGTGGAGCAGCTCTCCTGTCCCACAGGGTGGCTGGGCCCGAATCCCCTCCAAGGCCGGGTTCGGGAAAAGTCCCACAAGCTCCCGAAGGAGGCGGGTCTGAGTCTTCTGACCCTGATGAGATATTACAAGGACCTGTCCAAGGAGGCAGGGGAGCAGTGTGTGTGCCACAGGTTTGCCCTGTGGGCCACGGAAAGCCTCATTAGGAGAAATAGAATTTCTGCAAGGAGTCTGTGATTTCATACGTTACGCAGCGTACTGTCAACAACACCCTATATTACCATTTCTCAACAAAGGGAGAGCTGCTGTACACAGTGGCTAACACTCCTTTCAAAACGTGCCTTGTTGGAACGTTGTTGCTGCTGTGTGCAGGCACCCTTGTGCAGCTCAAGCACCATTGCCACATGGGGTCTGTGAAGTCTTTGTCTAAAAGGACTCTGTGTGTGAAAGACACAGAGGCACTTTGAAGCAGGAGTTTATATATTTCGATCCACATGGTCCATTAACACATGGAAAAAAATAACAGGGGAGAGCAGGCCATGGCCCCCCACCTGCCTTTGTAAGTCCAGGTTTACTGGAACACACCCATGCCATCGTCTACGTACTGCCGACAGCTGCTCCTGGACAATCGTCCTGACAAGACTGTTCCACAAAGCCTACAGTGGTTCCTATCTGACCCTTTAAAGGAAAAGCATGCCGGTCCCCGGCTTACAATATTGTGGCATACACTGTTAAAGAAAAAAAAAGAAAGAAAAGCCTCCCTGTCACAGTGATCCTATACACAGAGTGAAACTGCCCCAGTGAGTTGCTGAGAATGTAATTCCTTACAGGAATAGAAAGGCCTGTCTTTCTCTCAAGGAGCAGCTGGTGGTTTTGAACTGTTGACCTTACAGTTAGCAGCCCAACTTGTTATCACTATGTCACCAGCGCTCCTTGGCATACACTGTAGCTATTAAAGATTAAAATCAGTAGGAACTATATATATTCACAGGGAAAAGCATTCAAGACAGAATAATGAAAATATACTCTGTAACTCCAGCTACCTGGCTCACAGACCCAGAGAGGAATGCGTTCAGGGAGAAAAAGGGTGGTAGTTACATAATCTGGTGTCAATTTTGGAGGACTAAGTGAAGGGGTGGAGTCTGGCCTGTCAATCAAGATATAACACATGAGGCCTCTGTGTGGGCATGGCCTTCTCCTGAGAATTCAGGGAACTATGGTATTTTCCTCCTTGGAGGCAGGAGACACTTCTCTTTCTCTCCTCACTCCCTTGGAGACGCTCTACTGACAAGACACATGGCACTCTGATTTTGGTTTTATACAGAGGGACGTCTGTAGCCTCACATGCTTTAATTACTAAGAGAAAAACTTTTCAGTCAAAAAGCTTGAAAACAAACAAAAATTTTCATCAAAAAACTCATAAACAAAGGTCCTCCTCTCCCGCTCAGTCGCCCCACTGGAATTAAGATGCACACCAAAAGGCAGCAGACTGAAGGAGCTGCACACTGACCAGAGAGAACAGAAAGGGGAACTGGCCAAAGATCTCAACCAAGTTATGGAAACTTCCACCAAAGGGAGGCCCAGGGAAGTAGGTGCCACATTCTCCTGTATGTGAACCTCCCTTCAAAAACATGTGGACAGTGCCTCAGAGACCCTCACCCTCATCACTGCCTCTCCTCAGGGGTGGTGGGGCTGCAGGGGCACGCAGGACTCTCAGCACCCAGGGCCTGTGCAGGGCAGCCAAGAGGGAGGGCCAGCATGAAAAGGCACACAGAACCACCCAACATTCTCATTTTCAGGAGAGAAAACAAGGCTGACAAATTCAAAGTTGTTTACCACAGCTTCGAGCTTAGCTGAGTACAAACCCAGGGCTGTTGGCGCGCGCGCATGCACACACACACACAAGCACGCGCGCGCGCGCGTGTGTTCCACAAGAAGCCTCATACCCCCAAACTGACCTCTGAGCCTGATGGCATCAGAGCATGTTGGAGGCACAGGCCCTGCCCTTGCACAGCTGCTGAGTGAAATAAGAAGCATGAAAGAACATGGCAAACCACCCATGGAGTCCGAGCTGACGCCCACAGGCCTCCCTCCCATTAGAGTCCAGTACTTCCGAGTACTTCTTTGGGCCGTGGTTCATTCTGTAGAGCTCTGAACAGACTACTGAATGCCAGATCCACCTTCACAGCACACTCCAGCATTCAGAACCTGCAGGCATCCCAGCCTCTCCTAGGAATGCTCACCACAGAGATTCGGCAAAGTTCAGTATATGTGGAAAAGCACAAAGGAATAAATTTGATCAAGCATATAACTGTGGACTAGAAGCCATGTATCAACTGCAAATGATTCTACACAATGAATTTAATTCATTACACAGCAGTGAAAAATGTTACATTACTTAAGAAGGCACCCCACCAGAGGAGGGCATCATGGGTACCAGGGTGAAGTTAGGCGAGCCCTGTTTGCAAACTGCCAAGAATGGTGGCTGAGGCCTGGAGAATCTTTAGTTCTTCAGCCCACAGAGTTTCTACCAAAGTTAGCTGGTTGGTCAGAGCGACTTCTTCATCCTTCATGTGAGAAACCTGAAAGTTAGGGTAAGATTATTTTATTAATCTCAGCAGTGTCTCCATGCAAATGAGTTTCCATGCAAGTTTCTCTGAATTAAAACATTTCCTAAATAAATATAAAAATGAGAAATTATACTTGAAAATCCATTCTCAAAATGTGATGCAATCATTTTTACCTATTAAAAGGTTAGGCATAAAATAATAATAATTTATAAATTACCAAGGTTCATGAGAGAGTGGGTGGCGGGGAGGGATGGGAAAAATGAGGAGCTGATGCCAAGGGCTCAAGAAGAAAGAAAGTGTTTTGAGAATGATGATGGCGACAAATGTACAAATGTGCTTGACACAATGGATGTATGTATAGATTGTGATAAGAGTTGTACAAGCCCCCAATAAAATAATCTTTTTTAAAAAGTATAGACATAATTTCAACAATCAAAAATAATACATGATTATATCTATTTACAACTTCATTCATGATTTCTCTATTAATCCATTTATTCTATTTTATTTCTATGATTTCTATTTCTATTTATGATTTCATTTATTTGTGACACTAAAGAGTGCTCTTAGAGATGTATAGAACATGTATAGAACTTCTTAAAATATTTAAGAAAGGAACATAATATTCTAGAAACATACCTTTTGAAGCACAGCATTAGACTCCTCTATAAAATAAGAGCATATTTTCCTGGTTATGTCCAAACTTGCTTTCTCATTTGTATCTGAAATTATTTCACCAAGAAGTACTTTTTTCCAGCATGTACTAGAATTAAAATGTTCAATAAGAAAATATCAGGCCCGTAAAAGGTAAAGAAGGCTCTGACACTTCAACACAGCACACAAACACTTCTTAAGGTACCCTCTGCAGGCAGAAAGCTCAAATCTCCCTGTCGCATGCAGCAGAGAGGGAGAGAAGGAAGGAGTGGCAGGCAGCAGGGTGGGAAGGAGCCTGAGAGAATAAACAGCAAGGGGACCAGGCACTCTTGGCAGGCAGAGACTGAATTTTCCAATCATCACAGTCCTGTGTCTGGCCTATAAATGGAGTCACCCACCAGGGGCATGCGCAAGGCAGCAGGAAGGGGTGTCCTCAGCAGGAAGGCTTGGGGACAGCAGAGCTTTCTCCTCCTCTCAAGTGACTGAAACAAAACAAAACTCAGTCATCGAGCCCATCAGACTCATACAGACCCTATAGGACAGAGTGCCAAGGCGGTAAATCTTTACAAGAGTGGAAAGCCTCATCTTTCCCCCAAGGAGTGGCTGGTGGTTTGGAACTGCTGACCTTGGGGTTAGCAACCCAACGTGGAATTCTACGTCACCAGGGCTCTAACCTTAAAAAAAAAAAAAAACTGAACAGAGGCCCCTTTACATTTGGGAGGGTGAATCTGTGTGCCAAGTCTTGCTCGATGTACAAGTCATTCCAATTCTAAACTACAAAAATTGGTAGAAAATGAAGTGCCTCAGCAGAGTGATCACTGTTAAGCACTAACAAGTCTATGTCAACTCCTGGTGACCCCACAGAGTAGAGCCGCATTCTTGGCTGCAATCTTCACAGAACCAGATGACCATATTGAAACTACTTAACCATTGTGCCGCCATGGGCAGAGCAGGGAAAATTTACTGCAGGCAGACGGGCTTAGGTGTGTTTGGGGTGGGCAGCCAGAGCCTAGACCCAATCTACGCAGTAGGAAGAAGCACGAGCCTGGGAGAAGGGGACAGAGAGCGGGTCTGGACACAGAGAAGGCAGGCGTGGGCTCTGGTCTAGAAGCCGCAGGCAGGGCTGTAGAAGATGGACACGAGAAATAGTACAAAGAAACCAGACAGAAAGGCACACCAGCCCACAGGAGGAGGAGGAGGAGAATGGTGATGACGACGACGTTGTTTTTGTTGTTAGGTACCGGCCAGTGGGTTATGACCGGAGCAAGGCTAAGCACAACAGAACCAAACACCACCTGGTCCTGCGCCAGCCTCACAATGGTTCATATATTTGGGTCCATTGTCGCAGCCACTGTGTCAACCCACTTCATTCTGGGCCTTCCTCTTTCTCACTGCATCTCTGCTTTACCACACACGATGTCCTTCTCCAGGGACGGTCTCTCCTGACAATATGCCCAAAGTTCACGAGAAGTCTTGCCATCCTTGCCTCTAAGGACCACCCTGACTATACTTCTTCCAAGATGGATTTGCTTATACTTTTGGAAGTCTACGGCACTTTCAATATTCTTCTCAGCACCACCGTCCAATCTTTATTCCCTCAATCTTTATTCAATGCCCAACTTTCACATGCATGAGGGTATAGAAAATACCACAGAATACACCAGGGAATAATGTCTTATAGATCATGACCATTTGTGGGATGGCTGAAACTTCAGGAATAGGTGAGTTCTCAGACAAGAAAGAAGGAAATTACTATGTGCCAGGCAGTGTGCTCTCACTTGCATGGGGGTGGGGGGAGCCGGCGGCTTAAAAATGTTTATAGAGAAATTCCACTTTTTCATGAACCATTCTGAAGCCCCCTCCTATATCCACTATGCACGTAAGTGTTAAAGTTACCTTGCAAAGACAGCAATCCCCATTAGACATGCAAGAATTGAGAACCAGAGAAGTCGGAGGAGTTCTTCTCAGAGGCAACGCCACTGAGAGGCTGGCACAGCATTCTAACACACAGGATCCCAAGCCCGGACTTTTTCTGCCCTCTCGCTCCAGGCAGTAAGAACAACTCAGGAGAAGAAGCCCAAGGCTGGCCTTCAGGCAATATCCAGTGACTTAATTCTAGGTGAAATGCCTACAAAACACTTGTCTCTATTTCCACAAAGGGTTTAAAGAAGCTGATACACAAGAACAGACAACACCCAAGAATGAAGTGGGGGCGGGGCATAAGACGAAAGACAAGGCAAGGAAGAAAAAGGCAGTGTGCCTAAGAAAGAGCCCAGTGACAAATGCGTGCCTTAAGATGCTGAACATTTCCATGGACCACAAATTTACCTCCGCATTGTCTAGCCAAGTAAGAAAAACAAGGAAGCATAATTGGTTAGATAAAACACAGCATCTGCTGAGAATAAACACAACTGCCCTGGTGTTGGGACCAGGGAAGCATTCTTCCACTGCCCAGCCAGTAGGGGATAGCCCATCATAAGCGAGGAGCACGATCAATGGCAGGTGTCACTGAGTGTTGCCCGCAATGGCCTCTGGGCACTGGACTGAGTGCTCTTTAGAAGCACTGTTCCACTTAGTCCTCCCACATGCCTGGGAACTCATCATCTCCAGAAGGTCCTCTCTAGCTACTGTTTTTCTTGTCTGCGCTTTGGCAGTTGCCAGGAAGACGTGGCCCAGGGCAAGGAGGCACCATGCACGGGACCCACAGGCTCAAAACAGCCTCCCAGGAATACTGGGGAGGAGCCTGACATGAAGCTACAGTCCTAGAAATGGTCAAGATCTAAGGACAAAAATCCTCCCCCTATGGACAAGCGACATGAAGCAGCAGCTACTCTAACACACCTGGGTATAATACAGGTGGGTATAATACAAGTGGGTATAATACAGGTGGGTATTCTTTGTTCCCTCTCAGGCTGGGCACTTGAATGGCAGCCAAAAACACACCCCAAGTTACAACCAGACTGTTAACTACAGCTCCTGACCAACACATGTGAAACTTACAATTCTCCAGCCTCCAGACACAACAACTTGAGAGCCGTGAGTAACCTCCAAGACGGTCCATCCCATCCAAATGTCAAATTCCTAAAATTTACAAAAGTTTTTTAAAACAGCAGCAAATACTTTACAAACAGCCGGGAAGCCACCGGTTGTTTTTCAAAGAGGCCAAAAACAAATGTAACCTTCAGCACTGGTCACAAAGAAAAAGTCTACAAGCAATAATAGAGCCTGATGATAAAAAATCCCCTGCATTTTTTTTTTCGCTTTTGTTTTTAAGGAACTATTCTCTAATTAATTTTGTGAAGGGATTAAACTTTGGGGAGGGCCCACAGGAAGGGGAGGCCTTGCATGACAGCTCACAGTGAGATTAATTAATTAATTAATTAATCCATCCATGGCGCAAACACCTGGCTGTCTTCCCACTATCACTGCATGGCTCCCAACTTCACTTTGTCCAGAGAATGTGTGAAACAGAGGCTAAGACCCCGTGTACTCCATTTGGTGTGGAATCACCGTGCTGCTCACCCCCCTCAAGTGCCTGAATCAATGCTCAGGCTTCCAGGGACCAGGACCGGTCCCCTGAGGGTGAGCCTCATCCTGCACTATACACTAGCCCACTGCCATCCCTTCTGACCACAAGCTAGACACACAACCAGTATCAGGTGTAATAACTTAGCCTCTCAAGTTTCTATCTTATGCCCAGACTAAGTTTCTTGAAAGCGCCCTACCTCTGTGCTCTCCAGAAACACTAAGCACATTCTGACCTCATATAGTAAGCGTAGCACAAATCCCACCACTGCTGACAGTCAGGAGGTGTTGCACCCTGCAAAGCCCGAACCCTCATTCCTAATGAAGTCACTTTGAGAGAGAGAAATGACTTACTCCAGAAAGCCATGGTCCTTTAAAATGGCAATCTTTTTGCTCATCTGCTTATCTGTTGATGGAAGATACTTAACAAGTATATCTATAATTTAAAAAACAAACACAGATCAGACTAAGGCACAGTGTGTAATTCAGACAGCAGAGTGAATGTCACTTCTCAACTCACTGTCCTTCCCATTAGCAATCAAGACGTGTCAACACTTTGATCAAATCACCACTAAAAAATGTCTACTCTTCTAATCCAGGTCCGATTCTACAAGACCATGGATTCCAATCTTAGAAAGCTCTAAGTTCCAAGCTGTAGAAGAACAAAACATCACCACCTCAGCTCAAATTAACCAAGTACAGCAGATAATTCGGACATTAGCATAGCTGCGGGGAAACCATAAACCAACCAAAGCAAAACCAGTCACCCTGGTGTTCATATGTACTCATGGTGGCCCTGTGTATTTCCAATGGGATTGTGTTCATTGGATTTTCAATGGTTGATTTTCTGGAAGTCACTAGGAATTTCTTCCGAGGTGCCTTTAAGTGAATTGAAATCACCGACCATTATGTTAGCAGCCAAGCACATTAACTGTTGGCACCGCTTAGGGAAAGAAAAATAATATTCAAGTACTTTAGAAGTCAGAACTTGAACAAGTCGGAACCTTAGTGACTGCAACCAACCATAGCAAACTAGTAGTGAATAATGCAAAAATAAACAATTCTAATTGGGTTAGTGATGCTCCTGTATGAGTCACCAGTGGTGGACAGGTTTCAGCAGAACTTCCAGACTAAGACTACAAAGAAAGGCCAGGCCATCTACTTCGGACTTTCAGTCAATGAAAACCCTGTGGGTCACAACAGAATGTGGTCCTATCAGGTGCTGCATGATGAGCCCCTCCGGCTGGAAGGCCATCAAAATGCACAGTGGGCCGGCATTAAGCATGCCGTCTGTCACGACGAGCAGGGCCCAGGGGTCATGAGCCAAAGCCAGCTGGGCAGCAGCTGAGGGACAACAGAATAATGAGGGATTTTCTCTTTTTAAATTTTCCTCCTGTAACCCTATGTTGGTTTAACAGTTTTTAAAACAAAAAGAATATGTAAATTTTGCTCAAATTGATTTTACAAATGAACATTTAAAAATCTTTACGGAAGCAGTCAGCCTCATCTTTCCCCCTCAGGGTGGCTGGTGGGCTTGAACTGCAGACCTGACGGGTAGCAACCCTACGCCTAGGCCACAGTGCCACCAATGCTCCGGAACATTTCATAGCCAACAGTATTAAAGTGATAAGGAGTCTGAAAATAGAAAGCCAGTCTTAGAGCTAATTTTCTAAGAGAACTAACAAGGCCCCATTTTTGCTTTTCTGCTTTTGATTTAGCGAAGTAACATAGGATGCAATACAATTATCTTCCCCACGCTTCTATTTCCATGAGAGCTCATAATAAAACTGCAGGCTTCTTACCAAATTACAGACTTGTGCCATGCCTGGCCATTTCTTCTGATCCTAGAAGACTGTGTACTTCAGGAAGAAAAAAATCTGTCTTCTACAGCATCTCTAATACTTGGAAATTTTACACCACAAATGTAATAGCTAAGTTACTAATTTTCAGATAGTAATACCCATAAGGATGACTAGTTAACACACTGCAAAAAACATAAATGGGATCACCAGTCCATCTGGCCTTAAACTCAGAAAGCAGGCACTACGCAGTGGATGCTCTCCAGTAAGCATGCAGCGAGCTGCTGACCCAGCTCCCAGAGCTTTGCTGACCTTTCACAGCAAACCGCCAGCATGTCTTCCCAGGCATCTCTAGGTGGATTCAAACCATGACCAAGCACCTAACCATCTGTCCTACCCAGGGTTGCTAAGACCCCAAACACGCCAACCTGTTGGAATCAAGCTGATTCCAAGTCACAGCAACCCTTGTCATTGTACAGAGGAGAATGACAGGACTCGAATCAATGGCGGTGAGTCTGAGTGTGCTCGCTTGTTTTAACTGCTCCTTAGGGTCTCCGACGCGGTAATCTTTATGGAAGCACAGTGCCTCATCTTTCTCCCACCACAGCGTCTCTCGGGGGTTCTATCTGCCGACCTTCTAATTGGCAGTGGAGCACCTTAATCACATGCCACCAGGGCTCCTTCCAAGGTTCCTCACCCCAAACTCCAAACTCCTGACATCAAGGGGATGCAGACTCACAGTGACACTAAAGGACAGGGTGGAAGTGCCCTATGGGTTTCCAAGACTGTAACTCTTGATGGAAGTAGAAAGCCCTCTCTTTCTACCTCAGGGCAGGTGACTTTATGGTTAGCAGTCCAAGGCATAACCACTTCCTGGTAGAAGCAATAACATTTTGTATACTTTACTTAAGTATTAATAAGTATTTTTATCTTTTGACTTCTTGATCGCTAACCCTGTTCTATCATCGGGACAGTGAGCCCCAGTGACACAGTGGTCCAGCGCTGGGCTGCTAACCAGAAGGCTGGTGCTCTGAATCCACCCAGTGGTTCCGTGAAGGCCTGGCAACCTGCTCCCCCCAAAAGATGGAGGCCTTCCACACCTAGCAGCAATCCCACCCCAACTTGAGGGGCAGTGACGTGTTTTGTACACGACTTTCCATTTCTTTCCACCTATTCACAGTTAAGTCTTTAAGGGTTTTTCTTCTCTTCCATCTGTCTTCTAATGTCAAAAAAGCCTTCCACATTTATTATCCTATCATTCAAACTTCCTGTTTTTACTTCAACACTGAAATTTCAGTCAGCCTGCCTCCAAACCAACAATCCACCATCATCAAGTTGATTGACTCACAGCAACCCTATACCGCTTTCCAAGGTGGTAAATCTTTACAGGAGCAGATAGCCTCAGCTGTCTCCTACACAGCAGCTAGTGGGTTTGAACTGCAGACCTTATGGTTAGCAGTGCTTTGGGAGTTCCTGGTGGTAGAAACAGTTAAGCACCCAACTGGTAACCCAAAGGCTGGAGGTTCAAGTCCACCCACCTGTGCCTCGGAAGAAAGGCCTGGTGATCTACTTATTAAAATTAAGTTAGTGAAGACCCCAGAGTATAGCTGTACTCTGACACACAAGGGGCCCCCGTGAGCTGGAGGTGACCCCACATCAACTGGCATGAATGCTTTAGGATTTAATTTTATTAAAACTTAAAATAAACACATCTCTAGAGAGGGGAAGCGTTCTGTTTTTGTGAGAAAACCAAAGTTGATTCTAACCTCGTGAGACATACACACAGGCATGAGGATTCCGGGGGGAAACAAATCCGTATTCCAGGAGCAGGCGATGGTTGTCATGGGGGCCGTAGCAGATGAACACCTCTTCATGTTTTCTACATCTGGAAGCCGCTCGAATTTCATAACAGTGCGTTTCCTCATTAAATGCTGCTTTTACCTACAAAAGAAGAAAACTTAGATCCTGTGTGTGTAAAAATGAAAAGCTGACTGTTGGATTACTTTAAGCCAGACATAGCTTTGCAACGCTCAATGAATTGAACCACATCCAAAAATAATGAGGAAAAAATGTCAGGGCTGCCTCAGCTTTTGAGCAGCATGATAGTGGTTGATAACTCATGAATTCTAGAGCCCTGTTGCTATTACGGAGGGACTCGGGTAGTGTAGTGGTGATGTGCTGGGCTGCTAACTACATGGTCAGCAGTTCAAAACCACCAGCTGCTCCAAAGGAAAAATGATGGGGTTTTTACTCCTGCAGAGAGTTAGGGGCAGTCTCGGAAAGTCACAGGGGCAGAGTCCTACAGGGTCACTATGAGTCGGCATCAACTCGATGGCAATCAGTGTGAAGTTTGGTTGCTATTCTGAGGAGCCTTGGTGGCATAGTGGGAAAGCGCTTTGCAGCAAGCCAAAGGGTCAGCAGTTCGAACCCACTGGCAAATCCACAGGAGAAAGATGAGGCAGTCTGCTTACATAAAGAGTAGGCTTGAAAACCTATAGAGCAGCTCTAATCTGTCCTATCAGGACAGAGTTGACTGGGTAGCAGAGGTGTTTCACAGAAAAGGCCTGGCTGCTCCTGAACCAAGGGTGGGTCGAAGCTCGGAGTACTCCTAGCACATCCCAGTACAGAGGGCTCTCTCGGAAAACTGCTTTACAGACTCAACTACAGGTTAGAGTTTCAGGACACAAACCCAACTGTGCTTTAACACAGGGCCTGAAACTTTCTACTATAATTTACAGAATACATTGTTTAGGTTTTGCCAGTTATAGCCCCTCACTCTCTCAAGCTGATCCTTGGTTCTGGTTCTGGTTTGTTTTGCTTGTATTGTCACAATTCTTTAAAAAGGTAAAAGCCATTCTTATCTAAGAACCTTGAGGCAAATGTTTGAAGGCCATAATTTGACACCCTCCACCCCCAACTATAAACAATAAAATTACTGGTTTGGAGCCTAACTATACTCACAGCCCCAAGGGAGTGTGTCCTGCACTGAGGACTGACAAGTCCTGATGTCCTAGACCTTTCACACAGCATCCCCCTTACAGGTACTTTGTCACCACCACTCTCCTCTAACTTCCGTCTCCTTTCTACAAAAATACAGTAGACAACCCAGGCCTAAGAAAGCACAGCAGGACACTCCTGCCCTTTCTCTCTAGCACACGTCCTGCCCATTCTCTCTAGCGCACGAGCTAACTAGATGCCCGGTGCAGCACAGCAGCAAGTCTCAGTTTGGTCACTGGAGGATCTGGAGGAAGAGGGACAGTACAGAGGGTGGCAGTGGCATGAGATCTCAGCCATGTGGTCCACAATGAGCCCGAGGGTGTCAAGAAGCCAGGCCTTTCCCTAGTGTGCCCCACACGTCTTCCACATGCGCCACAGCTTGCAAAGGGCTGAAGCAAAGGGGCCCAGTGACTGCCTCCACAGGGGATTCTGTCTTAATTGCCAAGTCTTCTCCCTGAATATCATCATCCACGTGGAAACATTTACTGAGCATCTACTATGCTCTCATAAAAAGTAATCATCTAAAGATTACAACCCTACTGGGACAAGTGTCTTAATACTTCCCTTCCCTTTTCCAGCTTATCTTGTACCACATCGACTTTTTATTTCTGGAAGGCCGGCTCATAAAAGCAAACGGGGACAATAAATCCAGCAGGGCTTCTCTGACTGTGGCTAAATTTTGTGGAAGGCAGGTTTACACAGGGTGCCCCTGTCAAAGGGGCCCACTTAATCACAGGAGTTAGCATGACCTGGGTAAGTGGCTCATCTGGAGGATGGAGAGCCCATCACCATAAAGCCACTTCAGCGTGGTTTACCTACACAGTGTACCAACTAATCTGGGCCATTCCACTTGCGCAGTCTCCCCTTGCAGAGCGCACACACCTTCACAGCAGCTGTTACCCAGCCCAGCATTTGAGCGGTCCCCTTGGGATGACCTGCCTGCACATCATCATGTATTGGGCTACTGGGCTGGGCGATGGAGTCACCCAGAGGAGGCCAGCAAAGTTCCCTCCTCAGAAGAGGTCAGACCCTAGTCCGGGAAGGTGTGAGTCTAACAAGAGATGGCTCCAGGGGCAAAAGGAGATGGGACCAGAAAGCAAGCGTGCTTCAGCCCGGTTATGGGAGGAGAAAGAAGACTCTGCCGTGTGGGGACCCAGGGGCACAGAGAGTAGAGCTCTGCAGAGACGTGCAGAGGAGCAGGGGAAAGATAAAGGATGCCAGGTAGGAGACTGCATCAGGAGGAGAGCCGGAAGCACACTGAGGGCCATCTGTGCCTGCTCTTGCTCACAGGACAGTCAGTGCTCCCTGTTGTGAGTCCTCCTATCCAAGCCAAACCTGCTCACCTGGATGTCTGGACTGTGATTCAGCAGGTCCAGGAACGGGGCAAGGGCACACGTATCTGGCTCGGTGGAGAGGCACCCATGCCGCCGGTGACTCAGGTACACAGCTCTGGTGTTGACCGTGCACCAGGCCCACAGGAGGGCGCTGTAGGTGAAGATGCTCTCAACTGCCTCGGAAAAGAGAGGCTGCAGGGAGGAGAAAAAGTCTCTGGAGGACGTATAAAACTCCCCAACACAGCTCCTCTGTTCTCGAGCCTTTGTTATTAAAGGCCTGGGGAGAAGATTCACCACTTCCGGCTCTAAACAAACAGGGCAAGTGTAGGCCTCAGGTAGTGTGTCCAGGTAAGGCTTCCAGGGAGACCGGTCCCCAGCATGCTTTTCAGAAACTAGGAAGGTGCAGAGAGCCAGCAGAGGAGATGGAGGCGGCTTCCACCTGGTAAAATTAAAACAGGTTTAAGGCAAACACTGTCACTCAAGTTAGGGACTACGTGAAACGTGTGAGTGTGGGTGCACTGATTTGTTATGCCACTGGAGGGATTATGCTCAAGCTGTCAATCCCTCCAGGTTTACATACGGAACCCAATAGATGCCCTTTATTCTATGACTCACACTCCCTCTAGCGTCCTATTAATAACCACTAGACCCATTTCAAGTCTGTTTACAGGAACCCTCTCTGCTTCCTGGTTTCCCAGCTTGAACACTTATGCTACAGATCCACTTTTATCAATCAGATGAGAATACACAAGTGGTGGAACAACACACGTGCCACAGCAAATCCAAGACAAAACCATACTCTGCCACACTGTGCCACGTGGATTCTGACTCAGGGTACTCCATGCGTTACAGAATAGAACTGCTCCCTCCATAAGATGTCCTTGGCTGTAATTGTTACAGAAATAGACTATCAGGCCTTTCTCCCGGGGCACCACTAGCTGAGTTCCAAACTACAACCTTCAGGTTAGTAGTTGGAACACAATCCATTTGCAGCACCAAGGGATCTAGCAATGAGCTACATGAAGCTACGTCCATTTTAACTGGCAGAAATTAAGCAATATTTAAAATTAATTTCTCAGGATACAAGCCACATACCAAGTGCTCAACAGCTACACTTGACTAGCGGCTATTATACTGCACAATAAGACATTCCCATCATCCCAGATAGTTCAACTGGATGCCCATAACCTAGACCAAAAACTAAAGATGCTCGTTATATACTTGTTACACTTCAAGTGCTCATTTCTAAGCTTGCTTGATTTCAAATCACATACTGCAGTACTTTTATTTGTTTGCATGGTTACCCATAAAAACAAATCCTGTGGCATGAAACTATTTAGGAGATGTTTCAATGTCTGGATTTGTATGCAGCAGGACGTTCTACGCAAAATTTCAGAGTACGACAGAGAATCTGCATCTTAAGAGCATCCTTACCTTTACTCAAGTCTATGAAGGGGTTCTCCCACCCACCCCCCAAAAAAAAACAAACAATGCTCATTTGTTATTTTTGATGTGAGGGGGATAGTGCATTTGGAGTTCGTTCCATCAGGTAAGACTGTTAATCAAGCTTTCTATTTAGAGGTTCGGAAAAGATAGCATAACTGTGTGCGACTGAAAATGCCTGCTTGGTGGCAGACAGGGGACTGGTTTTGCCACCACGAAAATGCACCTGTTCACACAGCCGTCTCAGTACACCAGTTTTTGACAAAAAACTGCATGCCTCTCTTGCCCCACGCACCTAACTCACCTGACCTCGCTCCATGCAGCTTCTTGTTTCCATGAATTAAGAGGGACATGAAAGGACAGAGATTTGACAACGTTGTAGGAGAGGTGAAAAAAAAATGAGGGAGGTACTGTCAGCCATTCAAACAGATGAGTTTGGGAAATGTTTCCAAGAATGGAATCGCAGATTTGACAAATGTATTAAGTGTAATAGAGAGTACTTGCAAGGTGATATATTGTTTTGTTAAAAAAAAAAATTTAAATACATACTTTCGGGGAAAAAATTCTGGTTATGGGGGGTATCCCCTCTTACCAGATGCTGATGCCTTCTTACAAGAAAAAAAAAAAAATGCCAGGGGAGAAAAACAATCCAGAACTTATCTTCAAATTGAAACATGAAGCAATCTCTCAGTCCTCAAGATTTAGCAAGAAATCCTTGTGTTACGGATCCCACTCACTCTGTTGGTGGAGAACACTCAAAACCAAGGCCCACCAGAACAGATAACATAAAATACTTCTCTACTCCCGGCCTGGCCTCCCTCCCTCTGTGCTAAGTAAAACTAAGCCTTTGATAAATTCGACAGCGCTCCTTTGGAAGAATTCGAGCACATACGAGGAAGGGTAAAATGGACTGTTGCGGTCTACTGTGACAGCAACGAGCCTGGCGGTGCAGTCGGTTACTGACGCGTTAGACTGCTAACCGCACGGTCAGCCATTCGCACCTGCCTGCTGCTCTGTGGCAGACAGGGGGCTGTTTACTCTGGCAAAACTGCCTCCGAAATCCACAGGGGCAGTTCTCTCTTAGAGTCACGATGAGCCTGAATCTGCTCGATGGAGTGTGATCATGATGGCAGAAAGGCCACTGAGAGTCTGAATTACACATATCATCTCCTTCAACTTTCACTTACAAGTAAGTGATGGATCAAGGCTCAACTCAGATTCCAGAGAGCCTGGAAAAACCTTAAAATGTCCACTGGCAAGGAATTAAGAACAAGCTTCAAAGAACAGAATCCGCCTTTCAAATAATTTGAGCTACTGATTCGTTCTGAAAAGTCCTAGGTCCTTTTGATCTTCCCCTCAGATGGCGCACTGGCCAAGGACAGAGACCTCCCAGAGGAGCACAGCCCTGTGTGAGCATGCGCGCGAGATCACTTACTTTGTAATGTACGCCCCTAAGTAGCTTCTAATCACTGTGTCCGTGGTGAGCAGGCAACTCTCAGGCACAGAAATAATCATCTGCCCCACCTTGACACAAAGAAAGTCAAGGTTAGGACACTCATGCTTCGGCATGGCCTGCGAATGTGCGTTAGAGTGCTGTAAAACTATGGCTCCAACCCCACTGTTATCTACCCCCACTCTACTATAACCCAGCCACAGCCCCACAGCCCCCAACAGACTCACTCCCCATCCCTGAGGAGCAAGGGCAGGCAAGGCTGTGCCAATGCCAGGGACTACAATCCCAACATGAAGCAGAGGTGAATGCCCTGGCCTGCCACCCGTCAACCTTTCTCCTGGGAGGAAGAGCAAGGAAACAGTTTGACAGCTGTCCCCCCTGCATTTCTTAGGCCATGAAAGTGTGCTCCCGATGGGAAACAGAAACCACCAATATCAGTTGTAACCAGTGAAATCCAGGTGCCCAGTGACTGACTGCTCCAGACAAGTGCCTACTCTCTCCATTACCTGAAACTAGCCAGCTCGCTGATGAAAGGGCAGCCCACCCAGCACAGCATGAATCTAACTCTATCACTTGTATAAGCTTAGCTTTCTCTCACTGTAAGGTTGGGGTGTGGTGAGGGGGAGGATGTCACCGGGAATTAAGATGGAACATCACAGGCCCCAGAAAGAAGTTCAGCACTAAGACAACAGATGTGAGACCAAGGATTTGGATCCTGGCATTGGAGATTGGCAAAACTACTCAGGCCTGCAAAGAGTGTCAGGGTTCTCTAACTGGATTCCTCATGAGTCAAGTGAAATTAAACTGATGATTACTAACTACGTCCCTTCTGACTTCAAAATCCCATGACTTCCCTTTTAGCTGTTTGTTTGTTTTTTTTCTGTCCTCCTGTCATTAGCTTAATTCTATTTTTTTTTTGGCTTAATTCTATCTTAAGAGTCATTGTCTCTCCTCTTTCCTCAATGACTTACAATGACATTTGCCCCAAAGAGCTATTTACTCCATGAATATCTATGATTTTCACTTACATTTATGTAAATTATTACTAAAGCCAAGAAAATGCTCATTTGTACATAATGTCAACAGTAGAACAGCTCTGCAGTCATAGTCAAAAAGGGCATTGCAAGATCTATCTTGAAGTACACAATGCTGTTTTGATAATATCTATACACATATAATGAAATCCAGTCAATACAGCTATTATGCAAATGTATATACCAACTACTAAATCAAAAAACAACAAATGTGCTTGACACATGGATGGATGTATGGATTGTGATGAGTTGTACGAGCCCCCAATAAAATAAAAAATTCAAAAAACCAAACTCGCTGCTACCGAGTCAATATTGACACACAGTGGCCCCTTGTGATTTCTGAGACCATAACTGTTTACGGAAGTAGAAAGCCCAGTCTTTTTCCCTCGAAGCTAATGGTAGTTTTGAACTGCCAACCAAATGGATTACAGCCCAACTCGTAATCACTACACCCTCAAAGCTCCTTACCACCAAAGCTAGTGATGGAGAAATTGAAGAAGCAACATGTTCAGTCTGAAATTGCGCAACCAATGCAATCAAGACGCACTGATAATTACTGGTGATAAGAATGTAAACGTTGGAAACAAAGAGGTAAGAACAGTTGTTGGGAAATACGGCCTTGGTGAGAAATGAAGCTGGAGATCACATGACAGAATTTTGCAACGCCAATGCCTTCTTCATAGCAAATACCTTTCACAACAACATAAAAGGCGACTATACACAGGCACTTCTCCAGATGGAATACAAAAAATCAAACTGACCACATCTGTGGGAAGAGACGATGGAGCAGCTCAGTAGCAGCAGCTAAAACCAGGCCACGGCCTGATAGTGCAACAGGCCATCAATTGCACACATGTAGGTTCCGGTTGAAGCTAAATGAAATTAAAACAAGTCCACGAGAGCCAAAATATGATTTTGAGTCTACTCCACCTGATTTTGAGAACATCTCAATAACAGATTTGACCCACTAAACACTAATGACCTGGTGAGCTGTTTGAGGGCATCAAGAACATCATGCATGAAGCAAAAGGTAATTAAAAGATATGAAAATGGGGAGGGGAGGAGAAAAAAAATATGAAAGTAAAGATCAAAGTAGATATGAGAAGAGCCTGAAACTTGCTCTCAATCATAGAGTAGCTAAAATAAATGGAAATGATGAAAAGAGCTGAACAGAAAATGTCAGAGCAACTCAAGAAGATAAAATAAAATATCATAATGAAAGGTGCAAAGACCTGGAGTTAGAAAATCAAAAAGGAAGGACATGCTCAGTATCTCCGAAAGAGCTAAAGAAAAACTCAAGAAGAAAGGCAGAAAGAGAGGTGGTCCCCCATCAGTGGAGGCAGAGCTGGGCCTAACTCCCAGACCACAGCTAGCTCAAGGCTCTATTACCATGCTGTGCATAGCCACTCAGGAGAATAGCTCCCTGGGCACATTTAGCCCATACATGATGTCTCGCAACATTCGCCATGCTCAGACTGCCAGCTGCCTCTCCACCTCCTCCATGACTGAGGGTGCATGCCCGTCCCTGAAGCCCTTCCTTACAGGAAGCCTGCCTTTTTCTCACCATCTTCCTGGTCTGCAGCTGAGACTCTAAGAGCACCTGGACAGGAGGGTGTGGTGCACCCTCTAGGGACGTGGACATAGAGCTGCAAGCAACCTGGGTGTCCGATAGACACACCAGCCTGAGAGCAAACTAAGCCTCCATTCTGCTTAAGTCCTGTTACTTTGGACTTGTCACTTATATACAGAAAAACTTAATCAGAACTGATAGAACGATACTCAAACACACCCACTAGATGAGTAAGAAATGCCAGTGGGACTGGTGTCAAAAAGTTAGTGGAACAATTCCATTCTCTCTCTCTCTCTCTCTAATGAATGTTTGATTGTGAATTAGAAGGGGGTTTACATTTCAGACTATCAGTTCTGCATTCAGAAGGTTCAAACACTCATCAACTCCCAAGCCCGTATTCTATCCCACCCCCTCCACTCTTTTTAATTCCATTTTTTCCCATACACTTTTTGCAGCCCCCTCATGTGTCACACACAATGTGTTTTAAACATTTCAATGTTTTCAGAAACATTCTGAACTCCAAAACAAAGCAGCAAAACTGAGCATGCATTCCAAAGGCTCCAGGGGCCGTTCTGACCGGCAGGGCTGTTCTGCTCATCAGGCCTCTCCCAGTGCCTAGGAAAGCAAAGAAAGAAAAGGGTGAACATATAGGTCAATGAGCAAAGCTACAGAGAACTGAAGCAGGTTCTCCCAGCCTTGGACTCCCAGGGGAAACAAGGCTTCAGGAAAGGACTGGGAAATGCCTTGGGCCCCTGTGGGTGTCCTTATAGGGCTGCCCTCTGACAACACTGGTGGTTCAGTGGCTGAATTCTCGCATTCCATATAGGAGACCCAGTCAGTGCGCCTCAAGCCGAGCCACCACCCATCTGTCAGGGGAGACGTGTGTGTTCCTATGACCCTGAGCACATTTCAGTGGAGCCTCCAGACTAATAATACATTGACTAGGAAGAAAGGCCTGGTGATTCACTTCCAAAAATCAACCAGTGAGAATCCTACAAAACGAATACAAAAGTCCGATCTGTAACTTATCGGGAAGATGGCACAGGAGTGGGCAGCATGTTGTTCTGCTCTGCATGGCCACCAGTGCAAAGGCCCAGTCCACCGCAACTAACAACAGGATGGCCTACAGACCACCACAGGCTGGATGCAGCCCTGTGCTGGGCCCCTTTTAAGAACCCAGCCTTGGATTCCCTCCTTCAAGCAAAAGGCCTACTTCTAATTCCCATCCAACCTGAGATCCAATTCTGTCCCGACCAGGCCCAGCTTTCCCCACCAACGATCTTGGAGAGCCCTTTGATTGATGGGCCAGCAAACCCTACCCCATATCCAAGAGAGTCTGTGGATTGCATCCTCCCTGCCGCACCGCGCTCAGGTAACCCATCAGATGAGCTCTGCTTCCACCTGGGTGAGCACGGTGAGGATCTGTAAATGCCAGCTGATGCCTACACACAAAAACTTTAGGGCATTGTTTTCCAGTGGACAATACTGCCCCTGGGGGCACTGAAATGATCTAAGAGGGCTGCAAAAGCAGATACCTTAGTATTATACTGGGGTATGGAATATAGTACAAAATGTCTTAATTGCTAGGAGAGAAATAGCATTGCTTTGTTTTGTTTTGTTTTTGATGAGAAAGGGGCCGGAGTTCAAATAAGTTTTAGAACCTTTTTGGGGGGAGTCTAGCTACAACAGTTACTTCTCCAGCTGTGCTGTCAGCCCTGCTGAAGCTAAACCCTCCCCACCTCAGCTCCCGCGACAGTCAGACGAACTCAGAGGAGGCTGAGATGCAGGGTTTCTAGGAGACACAGGGAGTCTGAGCCCACAAGAGGCCTAGAGCCTACTCAGTTTCATATTTAGAGTTCTTAACCTTTTGTCTCTTGGCTGGGAGGGCGCATAATTCTGCAAAGGTCAATCCCTGCAAGACAGTGGGAGCTCCCGAGCAACTGAGTCATCTGGCTGGTTGGTTGAGGCTGTTATATACTGACATCGGTCTCCCTGACCAAGGGCATACTGGTCACTCCAAGTGGTTTTGGTTTTATGAACATATTTCACTAATTCTGTGAATCCCACAGTGGATTTAATAATCCCTGAGGGGAGGGTGGGTTGGAACGGGGTAACCAATTACAAAGATCTACATGTGACCTCCCTGGGGGATGGAAAACAGAAAAGTGGATGAAGGGAGACGTCAGACAGGGCAAGATATGACAAAATAATAATTTATAAATTATCAAGGGTTCGTGAGGGAGGGGGGAGCGGGGAGGGAGGGGAAAAATGAGAACTGATGCCAGGGGCTTAAGTGGAGAGCAAATGTTTTGAGAATGATGAGGCCAATGAATGTACAAATGTGCTTTATACAATTGATGAATGTATGGATTGTGATGAGTTGTATGAGCCCATAATCAAATGATAAAAATAAAATAAAATATAGCACACTGCTACATGGATGTGGGGGAAATAATAATAATAATAATCCCTGAGGGCCAGATCCCTTTTAGAATCAATGACTAATGGGAAGACTTTTTCCTATGGAAGATTTTTTTTTTTTAAGATTCAGGTGCCAGTTTACATGGAAATTTCTCTCCACACACAATGCTGTAGGAACTGGGTTTCCGAGGCTGTAAATCTTTACAGGAGCAGAAAGCCTCACTTATTGTCTTCAAATCTCTGCTACCCTAATCCACCGGGGAGGCCTGGATTTGGCCCATGCTTTTGGCCCTGACAGGTGCAGTCCCAAAGCAGAGAGCCCTAAGACAAAATCCCACTCACTACATGAGAGCCTTACCCTTCCTCTCCCCCACCCCCAAGATTAATTCCTCAGACTTCTGTAGGTTCTGGCAGAATACCAAAACGGTCCCGCCTATCACACACTAATTAAAAACTGGAAATCTATGGCTCACAAGGGAGGTTCCTTGCTTCCAAAATACAAGCAATAGGCTGTGATCACAGCCAAATCATTTAGCTTGAGCACATCCAAGGCCATGAAGGTGGAGTTAAGAGCTTGGGAGAGTTGTCTGCTCTCTTCAAATGGGAAACTCTGTCCTGCTCCAGATTATAGACAGGTGATGTGTTTTCTAACATGCCATCTAACCATATGCCAATTCCTGCTTCTTCACCATACACCTGTCCTTCTGGCGCCAAGTAGAACCCATGAAGGCAGCAGGCCTCAGGCACTGCTCATTCACTCCTGACAAGCAACTTTCATTCCATTTTAGAACTTGATGAGTAACAAACATTACCACTCCGAGGCAGGCAACCTAACACACAACACTAAAAGCTGGGCACCCAGAGAGTGGGGTCCCCTGAAACTCAGCGGTGCTTCCCCGTAGCCTGTGTCCACCCATCTCTCACGTGACGTGGTCATGAGAATCAAATTCCAGACTTTACCTGGAAAACGAGCAGGAGTTAAATTTGTATCTTCAAAATTCCTATCCTTCATCCACTTCCTCAGCTCTATAAATTCAGACTTGTGGCTCTCTTTAACTAATCAAGAGGAAAGAACAAACAGCAATTGTGAGGGTTAGTGGAATGCATCAACTTGGCTAAGCCATGACTCCCAATATTGTGTGGCTAACTGCAGTTTGTGAGCCAACTCAAATTATCCTCTTTGTGATCTGATGTATTTATCCTCCCTTTTATGTTACAAATCCCCTATGTTAATGAGGCAGGGCCTGTGTGCTGTGTATCTTTGGTCATAGTCTCACAAGAGGTTTACGTTCTGCCCTTACTCAAGTCCCACCCTTACTCAAATCACGTTCTTTTTTTTTTTTTCTTCACGTTCTTCTTAGATGTACACAGAGTTTCCTTGGGCAGAGGCTGTGGGTAACCCAAATCCAATCTAGAGAGATATATGGATACTCTGGAGGGCTCTCCCCTCTTGTTCTGAATTCTGCACCACCTGGTTCCTCATCATCTTACCTCCAGTTCCTGGGACTTAAACCAGTAGCCTGTTGTCTTACCTGCCAATTTTGGGACTCACAAGCTTCTGAAACCCCCGTGGGCCAAAAGCCTGTCATCTGACCTGCCAATTGTGGCTTCTGTCACTGTAACCACATGATCAGGAGAAGCTACCAGACTCCTGCCGGACCCACAGAGCTGCAACTTCCCAGCCTCCACAACTACAAGAACCGTTTCTTCCAGATGAATATATCTATTTCTCCCTTGCCCTTCTCCTTTTCTATTTACAGAAACTTCAAACGTTTATGGAGAAGCTCCGATATCTCTTAATCAAATTTTTCATGAACATTTTGAAGTCTCCTTGTTATACACTTTACTGATTTTGCTTCTCTAGAGAACTCAGATTAAAATCACTGTATAGTCAGGTCACCAACTTTTGAGAATCTCTGAAGAACCATCTCACGTAGAGATGGTTAAAAAATAGAAGCAATCTTTCAAAAAGAACAAATAATGTAAAGTAGCTCATAGTGGCCTCGTTATGGAGGGGACCTGCTCCACAGGCCTTTCTTGGCTGTCATCTTGACAGAAGCAGATACCAA